AGTTGTGTAACTTATTTCTTTAAGGTGAAAACTGTTGAAAACAACAAGATTGTTTTGTCTTATTACACAAATTAATATCCAGCTCCACGTGTTTCTATTGATGTCATTTCCCCACTAGAAAAATGTGTGATGCAGGTCCATGGAGGGCAAATAAGTTTAAATCAAATAAACAAAAGAAGATGCAGTTAAAATCAATAAAAGGTATTTAAGCTACGTTTTGAACATCCAAAACACGTCCAACACTTGTTGGCTGCTTGTGCTCTTTAGGTCAGACGTGTGTCGGGAAGCTCCTCTGTTGTTTGAGACGCTGGGGGAACCGTCTGATGGGGGAACCGTCTGATGGGAGAACGCTGCTCGACCTAACACCGGTCTCTGTTTAATGGTGGATAAAATAAAGAAAGTGGTGCTACTTTATTTACTTTGAGCAAGCTAACGTCATGCTCACAATATAATTAATCCACCAGATAATTCAGAGGTGGTCTGTTCAGTAAATTTTACTCCAGGAGCTGCGAGGCTTGTTTTCAAGCTTCAGACTGAACTGAAGCAGCGGCTGCTGATGTCATTGCGCTCTTGCGCGATGCTGCGTTCAGGACAAGCATGGAAAACTCACCACTCTTATGCCAATACGGTCGCAATGATGCATTTAAGTACCGAAATGGAATTGCATGAACATTCACGTGGTGGTTATGTAATACAGCGAATCAATAATAAAAAAATCTGCGTCGACAAATTTACATAATCAACGTCATCGATTATTTCAACTAATCGGTGCAGCCCTAGAGTCGATCGTCAGATATTGTCCAAGATTAACCTTCAGGGTGGATATAGCTCCCTAGCAGCCTCACACTGAGGACCTATCCATGTCATCATTTACTCAGAATGCTTTGTGTGTAAATAAAATGGCCCCGTCCATATTAAAATACAGTATATTTAAAAAATTTACAAAACTAAACATCCTACTGTATTTTTACAGTTTTTATTTTACAGTTAAAATATATGTTTATCAAATAAAGTCTAATGTTACAACTAATCATGGATCCCTTTAAAGTAGAAAACCGGGGGTTTTGGTCTTAAGAAATGAATGAACCAATTGGCAGGCCGAACTTTGGTCACTTGCGGGCCAGATGTGGCTCGCAGGCCGCCAGTTGAATAGCCCTGTATTAGACTGTAAGTCTACAAAAATTAAGTAGGGCCTCTGGACGGGTTCTTCTTTGTTGAAAATATGTTTCATCTCTCCTCTAAGACACTTCTTTAGTCTGAGGAGTAACAGGTAAACTCAGATAAGCAGTGCCTCTATGGTGGACAAACTAGATTATTAATGATGACAGTCAAAACTGGTGTTCATATGCAAAAGAGGACCCTCAGCTTAACAACCAATCAGTAAGGCCTGATTATTCCTACTGTTCATAAAGATCCATCAGCCTAACAATCACTAGGGCCCTGATTTACCTGTAACTCTTCAGACTGGAGAACAGACAAAATGTTTTTTCAACAAAGAACAACCTGTTCAGAGGACTTATTTAACTTTTTTAGATTTTTCTGCCTGGATTATTGAGATGCATCAGAACAGACTGTGAGCTTCAGAGGCAGGAGTTGTTCACTGCTATTTGTGACAATAATTCTTCTAATGATTCAAACACAAAACCCTCATCTATCTTTTACGTATTGCTTGTTTTATCAAAATATGTTGTTACAGCCATGTTGTTTGGTATTTTTACATTTGCTTTGCTCCCTTACTGTGGTTTCTGCTAAAACTTTCTGATCAGTGTTGTTTTCCTGTAATTTCAGGTTCTTGTTATGAAGTCACCCAATGTTTTTGGTCGAGCAGAAAAACTGACATTCCAGTTCTCTTATGGTACCAAAGAGACCTCCTACAGTCTGTGCTTCTTTAAGCCTCAGCCAGGACACTTTGAACGCAAGTAAGTTATAAACAGGGTCATAAAACTAACGGGATAAAAACAAACACAACAATCAGTATTGATATCAATGAATTATGTTTGAATTGTCAAGTTCTACATGAGCATCTCTGTTTACAGAGAGGACATTTTCTTGTAGATCTTTTCACTACTCTATTTAAACAAATGCTTGATTCATGAGATCAGGGCAAACTTTGGTGTTATATTTAAAGAGTGACCCTTTTAATGCCGTTTATGTGTGATTTGTCAAAGCAAGGAAACTAAATTTTCCCTCTTCCTTCCACTTGCAGTGTGTCTGTCAATATGTACAAAGTAACAGGTCAGTTTCCATGGAGCTCACTGAGAGAGACTGATCGAGGTGTCTCTACAGAACTGAGTGTAAGCTGTATTTTCATATATCTTTCTACTTTTGGTGCAGCTAAGTATAATGTTTGGAAATAAAAACCTGTTTTTTGAGTCTTGACATGTGGTTGAAGTGAACTGAGAGTTAACTTAGTTTTTGTGGTAATTTAAAAAATGATGATATGGAGTGATAAGAGAAGGGATCAAAGTAACACAATGGCTTTCTCTAACCTGGAGTCTGTAGGAAACAATAACTTTAGACTTGCTGTTTTAGGCTTGTTGTTTCTTTGCCAGTTTTATTAACTTGACATAGTTGGAAGATATCATTGTGAATTGGTGTTCTTCCACCTTCTTAAGTGTTAACCTCTTAAGCCGCAAGGGGTTTCCTTGACGTTTTTGCTCAAAATACCATGCTGAAATGTAACTGAGTGTATCTCAGCATTTACAAACTGTCCTTAAATAATCTTGGTATCAAAATAAAGCTAACACTTGTGAGATTTCATCAGAAGTATTAAAACAGCTGCTGTGGTTTTAGAGCTATTGAGGATGGAACATATAAGATAAGATAAGATAAGATAAGATAAGATAAAACTTTATTGATCCCACAGTGGGGAAATATTCACATTACAGCAGCTCAAAACAGGACAGGGTGAGATAGAATAAAGAAAGATAAGTAAAAAAGACAAACGAAACAAAAAAACATATATACGTATATATGTATAATTTTTCACTCTCACCTGGATTTTTTTTTCATTAGACAGTATAAAACCTATTTACAGGGTTTTTCCATCCTAAAGTTATTTATTTTTTCTTACCTGCCTTAAAAGACTTGTTATTGAATGTTTGGTCCTTAGAAAAATTATCCAAACATGTATTTGTCACCATATATATTATATAAAATAATGAGAAATTATATTTGACTTCAGTTGGATCATATTCACTCAAAATCAAGTGGGAAAAAAACCTTTCAACACACTTTACAACATATTTAGTTATATACTTTGACTTGCTGTAAAAATAACATCAAATTTTTTTCCTTTACAGATTTGCTTGAATGCATTTACAGATTTGCAATGACACCATTTTGTACAGTTTGTTTACTTTCTGATTCAACTGCTTGACGTTTGAACTGTGTTTGGTGAATGTAAAAATAGTTTCCATGATCTTTTAGCCAAGAGTCCTAGGTTTCCTTTGATACCAAACATGTCCAGGTCCAACTGACATATCTGAAGTTAAAAGAAGTAAAAAATAAAAATAAAATAAATAGAAAACGGAAAAAGCTTTTTCGCCCCCGGTACCAGGGGCATGGGGCTCAAGAGGTTAAAAAAGACAAATGCTAATTTACTGTATGTGTTCTGGGATAAAACTGAAATCCAAACATGGTGTTTTGTGTTAAATTGACTAGTTCCCCCTGTGGAAGACCAGCCAGACCCTGAAGTGGGAAGGAGTGTGGAGGGAGCTGGGCTGCCTGGGTAACACCGCTTCTTTTAACATCCGTGAGGAGAGCGGCCATTCCCTCAAGTCCTCCCTTTCGGTATTTCTCCCTTTTTTTTTTTTCATTTTTTATTTATTTATTTTTTTACACCTAAGATTTCACCGGGAGATTCAAAATGTGTAGTTTCATAAAAGCCTCTGCCAGACAACAAAAGGTTTTCATTGTATTTTTTTATAACCTTTATTAAACCAGGAAGTCCCATTGAGATTAAAAACCTCTTTTTCAAGAGAGACCTGACCAAGATTCATTGTTTGGTTTTTAACAATTTAATTTCCATTAAAATGTCTTTGTGGCAAGTGGTGTAATTGAATTATTCTAAATATTCAAAAAGACACCTATTAAAAAACAAACAATGATGGTTACATGTCTGACCGGTGTTATTTTGTTTTCAGCACGCTATGGTCATTGACACCAGAAACTCTTCCATTCTTCCCAGCAGTGGTGGATTATTGAAGATCCATCAGGTTTGTTTAAAAAAAAAGACCAGCCATTTTTTCAAACACCACATGAAATAAGATTCCAGCTTATAATTATATTATTTTAACACAACGTCAACATTTTGTGTTTTTGTAGGAACTTGCTGGTTACACTGGGGGTGATGCCAGTTTCCTGAAGGAGGACTTTGAGATCCAACTTAACAAAAGTCTCTTCTGGGACTCTGTAAGAATTAGTATTTTAACATCTCAACCACTATATTATAAATTTCAATACAACTATTGTTGATAAATAAAGTATGAGCTCTAGGTGATCAGTGTGATTGTGTAGTGTACACAAGGCTCACAAATCTTTGTGTAGTTTATTATTACCATCTTGTTTGTCCCTTTAGGTCCTGTCTGCCTCACTGTGGGGGGGCCTGCTTTTACCTATTGATGACAAACCCACTTCTATAGCAGACAGGTACACAAACACTTTACATTTTAAACAAAAATATGGTTGTTGTTTTTTTTTTTTTTACTGTTGCTGCTTCAGTAAAATGAATTGCAGACAAAACCAGAATAACTGCAAGTGAAGTGTTTTTATAAATTTAATAAAAATAATATTGCATTAGTCTAAGAAAGAGCTTTTCTAGACATGCAAAGATGCCTTAGAATCAAATATGTTTGTATCATGTTGACAAATTTATTTGATGGATTCAGTCACCATCAGTGGTGTGACACTCAGAGTCTCCTGATAGTTCTCTTTACTTAAAAAAAAAAACATAATTTATTATCCCCCATTGCTTAAAGCAGAGGAGCCCAAAGTGGGGCCCGCAGGCCAAATTTGGCCCGCCAAGCCATTTCATTTGGCCCACCAACAGTTGCCAAAGTTACAAGGTTACCTGTTATCCAATAGGTAAAAACACAGTATTTCCATTGGTCAAATGACTATATGAAAGGGTTGTAGTGAAGGTAGTTTTCAGTCATGGTAATGACATATCTTTGATTTATTAGGATTAAACAAAAAACATGAAATGACAATAAATATTAAGATCAGATTTAACCCCACATGTAGATTTAAACACTTTATAAGGCCACAAAAACTCATATTTTATCAATTTATGAAATGTCCCATGAGCCTTTGCTATTTGAGCGTATGGCAGACTTTCTGCAAGTGCACAGACTAAAACAAGAGGACCATTGCACAGCTTAATGGTTAAAAATAAAGGACTTTACTTTAAAAAAGTATTTGTATTTCATGTATTATATAACTGCATTTGGCCCGCAGCCATGGATAGATTTTCATTTTGGCCCCCTCGGGGAAAATGGTTGGGCGCCCCTGGCTTAAAGGCAAAAGGTGGGCAGTAATGTTTTTGCTCATGTCTTTGTGTTTTTTGTTTTTTTGTCTTGTTAAAATGAGGGAAATGCAAAATCATGCATTTTTGAGAAATCCTTGAATCTCCTGCAGCATGTGGAGCTGCCTAAACACCTGCTGGTACAAAGCACCGCCTATTTTGTACACAGCTCCTCCCTGGAGCTCCTTCTGCAGCTGACCTCTCGCCCCAGTTTTTATCATTTTTTTAAATTTTTGCCTCACCAATTAGATGCAGTTATTAAAAAAGTACACATGCAGGTAGAATTTATAAAAATATGTTTCGCTTTACCTTTTTTATAGGTTCTATCTTGGTGGGCCCACTAGTATCAGAGGATTTAGTATGTATAGTATGGGTCCACAAAGTCACGGTAAGTTGTGACCGTGAGTGAGCAGCTCAGTCACCAGTCTGGATTTAGGTGTTTTATGATGATATTCTTATGGCAGGAGATTACCTGGGAGGTGAGGCATACTGGGCTGGAGGCCTCCACCTCTACACACCTCTGCCCTTCAGACCAGGCAGGGGAGGCTTTGGTGACCTCTTCAGAACCCACTTCTTCCTTAATGCTGGAAATCTTTGCAACCTCAACTATGGTGAGCAGCTGGGATCAGAGTCCTATTTAATCCCAAATGACTGCATCTGGTCCTGTCTTCTGTTTGTCTGAGGTGGTGTGTTTGTTTTTTTTTATGCAGGTGAAGGACCTCAGGCACATTTGAAGAAACTGGCAGAATGCATCCGCTGGTCGTACGGACTGGGCATTGTTCTACGGTTAGGAAACATTGCCAGGCTGGAGCTGAATTACTGCATTCCCGTGGGAGTCCAGAGTGGAGACAGGTAGTGTTGTTAGCACATCGAGTGTCGGCCAACAAGACTGCTAATTCCACATTTTAAATATAAAATGAAGGCTTTTAGAGCCCAGTAGAATTATTGACAGGTGGACACCAAAACTAGATCCTCAACTTTCACATTAGTTTTCAACAGAGCGTTAAGGCCATACAAAGACATACTCTATGTATATATTAGGGGTGCAACGATACAGGAAATTCACGGTTCGGTTCGATACTTTAGTCTCACGGTTCGATATTTTTTCGATACAAAAAAGAGAAATTTCCATGCCCCTTTTAACTTGTAATTTATTTATATTAATTATGAACATTTGTTTAACCTCAAAAATACAGTTTTTTAATTAAATGTTGCTGAAACAGCAAGTGGATCTGCACTCAAAAATGCAGCCTAGGTGGAGTAGTCGAGCACAGATCCACTGATCCTTCAACAC